GGGAGCACGAGGAGCGTCTTGGTCAAATGAATGGCTCCTACGAAACCCTTCAGAAACGATTGCAGGAGCTCGAGGAGGCTAAGCACGTTCTTCGCGAAACAGCTGTCTTCTTTGACCAGGCAGAAGGTCGCCAGGATGCTATCCGTACCTCTGTTGATGATGCGAACGCTCCTCTCCTCCACGATGTCGAATCGCACGTCTTCAACACTTCGCGTGGTGACGATAACAACTACGGCACCTTCGACCTCGAGTTCGTCGCCGGTACCATCGATCGCAGCAAGATGGCCATCTTCGAACGCATTCTCTGGCGTGTCCTCCGCGGCAATCTTTACATGAACTACGCTGAAATCGAGGAGGCTTTCGATGACCCGACCAAGGAGGAGCCTGTTCGCAAAAATGTCTTCATCATCTTTGCTCACGGTGCCGAGCTTCTTGCCAAAATCCGAAAGATCAGTGAAAGCATGGGTGGTACCCTCTACCCCATCGACAGTAATGCGGATCGTCGTGAGGAGAGCCTTCGCGAGGTCCTCAGCCGTATCGAGGATCTCAACAATGTTCTCTACTCGACCAGCGCCACTCGACGCACCGAGCTCGTCAAGATTGCCGAGGTGCTCAGCGCCTGGGAAGATGTCGTTCGCAAGGAGAAGCTCATCTACTCGACGCTAAACATGTTTCTCTTCGACAACCGTCGTAAGACGCTCGTTGCCGAAGGTTGGTGCCCCTCCAGCGATCTCGGTCAGATCCAGCTTGCTCTTCGTCGAGCCACCGAGAACGCTGGCACCAGCGCTCCAGCTGTGCTGCAGGAGCTTCGCACCAACAAGTCGCCTCCCACCTTCCAGCGATCGAACAAGTACACCGAGGCTATCCAGTCGGTCGGTGACAGCTACGGTATTGCCAAGTACAAGGAGGTCAACCCTGGTCTGTTCAACTTCATCCTCCTCCCGTTCCTCTTCGCCGTCATGTTCGGTGATGTCTTCCACGCTTTCCTCATGACGCTCGCCGCCCTCGCCATGTGCACCTTTGAGCGCAAGCTTGCCAAGGTGGACAACGAAATCTTCACCATGTTCTTCTACGGTCGTTACATGATGCTGCTCATGGGCGTCTTCTCCATGTTCACCGGTTTCCTCTACAACGATATCGGAAGCAAGAGCATGCACCTCTTCCACACTGGCTGGGACTGGCCCCACAAAGAAGGCACCATTGAGGCCGTCCCCAATGGCAACGTCTATGCGATTGGTATTGACCCTTCCTGGCACGGCGCTGACAACGCGCTCGTCTTCACCAATTCGCTCAAGATGAAGATGTCCGTCATTCTCGGTGTCTTCCACATGACCCTCGCCATTCTCCTCAACGTGCCCAACTTCATCCGCTTCGGCCAGAAGTGGAAGATCTGGTCCGAGATCGTGCCTCAGATGCTCTTCATGCAGTCGCTCTTCGGCTACCTCGTCTTCGCCATCGTCTACAAGTGGTCCATTGACTGGTACGAGACTGATGCCAACGGCGCCGTCTTCCGCAACAACCCGCCTGGCTTGCTCAACATGCTCATCTACATGTTCCTCAAGCCCGGTACTGTTGACCCCAAGACCGAGCTTTTCCGTGGTCAGGCTTTCGTTCAGACCATGCTGCTGCTCATCGCATTCGTCTGCGTTCCTTGGATGCTAGTCGTCACTCCCTACATCGAGTGGAAGGAGCATCAGAAGATCAAGGGTCAAGGCTACCGCGCCGTTGGTGTCAACAACGGTTCCCGTGGCCTTGGGCTCGATGATGATGCCGACGACGACGCGGACGCTGATGATAGCAGCCGCCTTACTCAGGGTCAAGGCAACGGCCACGGCAGTGGAGGCCACGGCGATGGTGAGATGGAGGAGGAGCATGAGTTCAACATTGGTGAGGCCGTCATCCACCAAGTCATTCACACCATCGAGTTCTGTCTTGGATGTATCTCGAACACCGCTTCGTACCTTCGTCTCTGGGCTCTGTCGCTTGCCCACGCCCAGTTGTCCGAGGTGTTGTGGACAATGACCATCCAAAATGTCTTTGGTATGACCGGAGTGACTGGTGCAATCGCCACCGTTCTCGCTTTCGGTCTCTGGTTCTGCCTTTCCATTGCCATTCTCTGCTGCATGGAGGGTCTCAGTTCGCTTCTTCACGCCATTCGTCTCGCTTGGGTCGAATTCGGCAGCAAATTCTACCAGGCGGGTGGATATCAATTCGAGCCCTTGAAATTCTAAGGGCTGCAAGCTGCCTCGGATCACCTTCACACTAGACTCTCTTCACAACACGACGCTCTGTTGCTTCAGCTCATTTGAGTGACCAATTCTCATTGCCGTCGAAAATCTTTTGTACCGCGTGTATTGCTGCTTTCCGTCAAGAGACGGAACAGACCCGTCGACCCACGGAATGGATCCGTCGACACACGGAAGGAGGATATCGTCCATGGTTAGTAACCCCTAACCGCTCTTGTGAGTTGGTTTCCGTCATCGCTGTCATTGCTTCAATCACGCAAGAAAGCCAAACGCTTGAGCAAGATCTCTGCGCTATCTGTCATCTCGGTGCCTGCTGCAATCACCTTTTGCAGGTAGTCATTGGCCAGAGCCAAGTTTCCAACCTTGTTCTGCGAGCCCTCTTCCGCGTCCTGATCCATTTCGTCTCTCGTAGCCATACCTGCTGCTTCCGCTCTCTGTTGTGCTGCTTTGTCTCCGATCTCGCCCATCTCCCACCTTGCTGCGATGATGTATGATCTCGCATACCGTGCCACGACATTCGACTCTGTTCCTGCCAGCGCTCTGTCCACGACCTGCACCAATCGACGGTGGTACGATGCAGCAGCTTCAAAGTCTCGCTCCTTTTCATATACCTCGATGATCCTCGTCAACCCAATCACCGTGTCTCCCTGATTGAGACGACAAGCGAGGTATCGCTTGAAACAAGAGATAGCGTCTTGGGCTCGGCCTAAGTGATCGTAGCAGATACCCATACTCGACCACATGCGTCCGTCATATGGTCGAATCGCCGCACACTTCTGAAAGTAGTTGACCGCATACGTGTAAGCACCGTTGAGCTCATATACTTGTCCAAGTCCGTACAGAGCGCGGTACTCGCGAGGGTTGATTTTGAGTGCTCGTCGGTACATCTCCGCGGCAGCATGACTGTTCTTGAGCTCGATGTATTCGTGTCCTAGCAAGATCCAGGCGGGTACGCAACCAGAGTCAAGACGCAGGGCGTGTCGGAAGGCTTCAATGGCACGGTGATGGTCGCTACGTTGATTGTAGTAATTGCCTACCAAGCAGCATACTTCAGGTCGGTCTTTTGCAAACGAGCTGAATTTGTGCGCGAGGTGTGCTAGCTCCGCTGTTCGATTGAGCAAGTATAGTGCATTCGAGTAGTCGGAGAGTCCGTCAATGCGGTAAGGGTCAATCGACCATGCTTCTTGGAAATCTTGTTCAGCTTCGATATAGTCTAGCCGGTGAACGTTCGTCTGTGCGCGACTGGTGAGCAAGTGAGCAGAACGCGGGAAGGATTCGAGTAGTCGGTCGATGCGGGCGATAGTAAGGTCGCCTTCCTGTGCCGAATGACGATCGAGAAACTCACGGAAGAAGCTGACCATGAAAGATTCGGGCAGCAAGTCAGCCATCTGATCCGCTTCTCCTGGCTCCAACGTCATCGCCAGCTCTTGCCATGCCGCCCAGTTGTACGCAAAGCTTTGCACCGATCGAATCAGGCAGTCCATGGCCTCGATGGGCCGGTTCAGTTTTCGCAGTATTGCGCCCTTCAGGAAGAGCAAGAACGGGTCGGCAGCATGGATGAGCTCCTTGAGGATGGGTACCAGGCTTGGCGACGTAGCCGGCAACGTTCCGGTTGGCTTCGGAATGATCATGCCGTGTTCGTCGAGCTTGCGTTCCGACATGAGGAACCTTGCGTACAGCCGCAGGAACCGAGCCTTGTCGGACGTACTTTTGTTGTTCTCCAAGACCCAGATGCATCGCTCGAGTTGGTGTTGGTCAAAGTGGCTCTTGGCAAGCATATATGACTCTTCCTCCAATGCTGATGACACAGTCTGTGCGCCGTCATAGCGAAGTTGTGACTGCCCAGGGGAGCAATCGACAGAGTTGGTATTCGATTGCCAGTGTACGTGAGCGGATCCGGCACCGTCGCCCTCCTCACTGTCGACTGTGATGATAGAGCTGTCTGGATCGCCTCTTGGCGATGCTATGTGACCCAGACGAGCGCTTGCGAGAGGCGACGATGCGTATGCGTTAGAATTGAACCGCCCAGAGACTTCGCCTATTGACCCATCCTCAGCGTTCGGCTCCACGGACATGCGCTGCTGTATGCCAAGAGCGGGTGTCGAGTGCTCTGGTATGAGTGATCTTCGATTTGGGCGGCGCTTCGTTGCTGGCGTCATTGTGCCGATTGCCGACTCGTCCTCACGACTTTCTTCAGAGAAGAGACGCTTCCCGTAGCTAAAGTCCGTGTAAGGGACCGATTGCAGAAGCTCGAGCGTCCATCTTGATGAAGATGCCAGACCGCGCTCGGACAGCTCTGCAGCTGCGTACCTTAGCTGCTCTCGTGCTCGAACAGGGTCGAGATCTGGAAATGGATAGTCGATGTCGAAGACTGATGTGTCGGGCATCGTCGTAGGATATGAATTCGGTATATCGGTAGCTCCGGCGTTATTCTGAAGGGGTTGAGCACTTCAAAGATGTTGATGTAGCGATGCTTTCCCATGCGAAAGGTTCCCGAGGTGTCAATCGTTGTCAATGATGTTGTTGGTCTCGAGAAGAGCATCTTGGTGGTATAGTAATGTTGTTCTAATCCAGCGCTTCCCAGAACGCGCCTGCCAAAATTCGCCTTGACTTCTTCTTCCTTCTTTTCTACAAGACCCTCTTGTCAAAGTATGAACGTCAAAATCTGGAAACTCAACAGTTGGGAAGTACACAACCTCTTTATGCTTTTGAGTACTGTTGGCCTAAATATATATTTAAAAAAAACAAAGGAGATGCAGTCTGGAGGAATCGAACATCCGTCTGCTCGGTAAGCTTGAGCATGTCAACCCATTTCCACAACGAGCTGTACTAACCACTATACTAAGACTGCTTTGATGAAAACAGTTTAAAATAGTGTTGTGACGAACTGTTGTCATTTATTCAATCATCGCGTTAATTTTTGCGCCTGAATTTACGAACGTCTGTTCTCGTGCCCTGCCGTTTGAGAGTGATCTCGAGAGTGACATCAGACACGAGAGATGGAAGATGACAGTGTCATTGACTACCATGGCCAAACTGCTTGCCACTGCTGAAGGAAACGATCCAATATGATGATGAAAGTTGATGTAAGCCGATGGTGAAGAGATCGGGATAGGTCAATCAATTCCAGGCCCGGGCTCTTTGGGATGTGGTGATAGTCCATCACAAGCCACACTTGAAATAAGACTCGCTTTTTCCCGGCTGTCGTGTTGCGAGTGTAGGAGAGCTGTGCGCTATATCGGCTCGCATCAGGCCGATTATCGCGATAGGGTATCGGAATATCGAACGTCCGACGCCGAGGAGCTAGGAGCCTGGGCCCTACCTGCATTGTCCCTGCATGCTCCAGCCTCGTTGACAGGACAGCATGCCCCCGCCCCGTCCACAGGGTAGACGTACGAAACACACAAGATATAGCCATTTCGTTGTTCCATTAGAACCAGATCCATCTGCTGTCTGTACATACAGTTCGTAGTCGCCACACGTAATAAAGCCGCGTCCTACAATTCAAGTCTGTCACTCCATCCAACAGTTTAGGCCCTCATTTTGGGCAAAGTGCTTCTGATTGGCCCACTCGTCCCTAGTGAAATGCCAAGCACCACTCAAGGTCAGCCCGAGGGTGGGTCAAAGTCAAAGTCTGTATGCGAGCCTCATTCTTTTTACGCTTTTCTTCCGCAGAGAAGGTTTTGCGCAATCTCAATGCTGAATTTTCCCGGATTGATGAAGTCAACGGACATTAAGCAGTAGCTTGATGTTTCCACAACGTGCGCCCTCCATTGTTTTGGTCGTGTTCACGGAGAAAGAAGGATAGACTTTCTGCCGCAATGCGTTCACTGAACTGCTTTGAGCTGGAACAATACCGTACATTGTGCGGTGCTAAGAGATGTCAATTTTGCAACCTCAATTTATAGAAGTAATTTATCGATTTACTTTTTCTGATTTGCCTCGAAGCGAAATTTATTGATACATTTCTCAGAGATCGAGCGGCAAGCACAGGTTGTGGCAGCTTTGTCAACCGCAAGCCCCATAGCAATGCTGGTGCACGATGACATGTCTTACGAGACACTGAGATCCATTCCAGAAAGAAAGAGAAAGGACTGCATGTGCGCACCCCTACGTCCAACTTGTCATTCCCAACCGCAAAGAAATTTGCGGAGGAAGAAATGTCAAGTGGTGTTTTTCTTGAGTTGAGGAACGCCAAAAGCGTTCCGGCCTTGGCTGAGGGTCCTGGCACGCTTTCGACGTGCCAGTTCGACGTGCCGGGAAATTAGAGTGAAATGGCAACTCTAGAATTGGCACACCTTTTACATAACACCCCCTTCACTGTAGCCGAACGCTTAAAGCCTTCCTCTCTTGTATCTACAACATCACGCAGCCCGCAACTCCTTGTCACTCTAACACACCAGTGCCACGACGAGAGCAGGAAATTCTGTTAACGGGTGGCAAGCCGTACCCATCCCCAGCCAGGCTACGGGCTCAACACAGAATATTTCGAAATTTCAATTGAATTGAGTTCTCGTGTCGTCTGTGTTGAGGAATGCATGGTCAGGGAGCGATAATGCGGATGGTAATCGTTAGCTTATTGTAGAAGTCTAGTTACAAAGCAATGCTAGGTATATATGCTTCTCAGATGGTCTGCGTCTACGTATGTGGTATGAGATGATACGTGTAATCGTATGCAGTCGCAACAGGGGTGAGGAGTGTTTATGGGTGATGAGCAGCGTTGAGCAGCGTTGGTGGGTGTTGATGAGTGGCGACGGTGAGCGAAGTTTGCGGATATGTTAGGGAGAAGGAAAAAGGTCATGTGATTTTACTGTCTGTAGGGCCATGCACGGAGAATCAGATTTTCGTAAATTCGGGGGCAAATCAAAAAAATCAAAAAATCAAATCAAATCGAAAAGTCGAAAAGTCGAAAATTTGACGGAAATTACGCGTCAACACACGAGAGGAATGTTAAATCTATTAGCCTTGTCCAGCCACGATACTAAGACTGCGTGAGATTCGGCTTCCACCCCCAGAGCTTTCCGATTTGAGAGGAAGACCATGCGTTGATGAGATCGGGTCTGTAAGCTCGAGCGTCATGGTACGGACACGTTCTTAGACTTCAACGCTGTTTGCATTCAGCTAAGATGTCTTGGTCCCGCTGTGTCTGATGCGAAAACAGAGACTCGCAGATAGAAGCTGAGAGTTGCAAGGAACTCGAGATGTTCTGATTGAAGACCACGAGGTCCGAGCACCTACTTCCAGAAGCATCTATGCCCCTGGAAGAGCGCAGGGTGCGACAACTTCGTCTCTTTGCGGAGGCAGAGGATCCAAATGGAGTGACGAGAAACGCCGTTTCATACAATGCTCGACCATGACGAGCTCAAACGCCAACTCTTTACACAGTCTGGTTTCACATGGTAAGTTATGAGATCATTGTACAGGTTCGATTTTTTGAGAATGCAGCGAGACATCTTTCGATGCCCGCTATGAGCGAGAGTTTGAATATAACAGAAGACGGCTGCTGTACGAACGCAAGAAGCTCGTGTAGGAGTGGCTATAGAGCCAACGGCTACGATTGCAACAGGAGCCGGCGCCACTGACCGTACATAGTGTGATAGTCAAAGACTTCAGGGCGTAAGAGGGTGTGGGTGGAAAGCAACATCTCGAGCCGTCTCTCGAGATATACCTGAAACGGGAGGCGGTAGACAAGTCGTGACGATCATACCGTTACAATCCCTTTTCTTTTGGATCAGATGCAGGGTAAGGGAGAAGGTGAGCAGAAAGAGATTGTGGGATGACGAAACCAAGGAAGATGCAAGGCAATGCGGGGGAACAAGAAACGCTGGGAAGAGGCGGATCAAACTGCTTAAGCCTGAGCCTTCCTAGCGGACTTGCGGGCAGCCTTGTTGGAGGCAACCTCGGCCTTCTTCTCGGCAACACGCTTGGCAAGAACCTGCTCGTACTCGTCCTTCTGGATCTTCTGGGCCTCTGCCTTGCGGATCTTGAGCGAGCGGAGGTGACGCTTGCGCTGGAGACGCTGGGCAGTCACGAGACGCTGAATCTTGGGAGCCTTGGTGTAGGGCTTGGCACCCTCCTTCTTGGAGACGACCTCGCGGCGAACAACGAACTGACGGACATCGTCCTCCTTGGAAAGGTTGAAGAACTTGCGGATGTGGTTGGCACGCTTGGGACCGAGACGCTTGGGGACAGTGGACTCGGCGTCAGTGAGACCGGGTATCTCCTTCTCACCTTGTTTGACGACGATAAGGTGGAGAGCCTGAATATCGGGGCCGACGATGCAACCGCGAACGGACTTGCGCTTGCGCTCACCGGTGCGGCGGGGGCGGTAGCACGAGTCACCCTTGGAGAGGAGGAGACGAACACGGTTGGGAAGGAGGACACCCTGCTTCATGGGGAAACCCTGCTTGTCATTACCACCGCCGATGCGGAGGACGTAACCCTTCCACTCCTCACCGAGAGAGTCGACCTCAACGTCCTGCGACATGCGCTTCTCGTAGAAGCAGCGAACGAGTCGCTCATCCTGGATGTCGAAAGACTTCTGGGCACCCGTGGCCGGGTTAGCAACGTTGAGCTTCATCTGTTAGTGTTTGTGGAGCGGAGAAGGCAAATGGTGAGCAAATCGGTTCATAGATGGGAGGACTAATGCGACTACGGTAACGAGCCAGTGGTACTCGATGAGACACAGCGCAGTAGAAACAAGTTGGGGGTGAAGCTGATGTCGGCTCGATAAGGGTGGTCGATAGTAGCAGGAAATACGCGCAATCATTGGTAGAGAAGAGTTCGGGCTGCGTGTGCACCTTTAGACGGAATGGAAATGTCAACTTCAATGTATGCAAACCATGTGCGAGTCAAGTATCAATTCCGCCTTGGAAGATAGAATTCTGACTGTGACTCCGCTTGTCGCCGTCCCATGCCATGCAAGATGATTTACCTGTCTCCTTCTGCTCCATTCGTATGTACTCCAGGCTGTGCACGGTGTCACCACTTCAGGTTCCAGACCCAACTTGCCATATCCGATGTTGTCTTCAGACCCTCTGTGCGATAGTCAACAAGCCTTAATCCGCGATGCTGCCTCTTCCTCCTATATGCCAGCTTGTCTTCGAGTCATGTTCATTAGGACAAGTTGGTGTAGGGGTGCCGTTTGAATGTGCGAATCCAGATTATCGATTGTTCGTAGTTTGGACATCGTGACATGCTGTTGGCGATGGCCGGGGTGTGCTGCTGCTGCTGCATGCTGTGTCTCGACGAGTCGTGCTGATGCAGTCATGTATGGTGCTGGTATAGACTACCTACCTTGACAGATAGTTGATATGATGAGGTTAAAAGTCAGAGAGGATCGTGAGCAAACTCGAATCGCAAAGTCCAACGCTCGCTCAGTCTGTCTGAGGATGTAGACCAGGCTGGCACAGCGCACAACTCTGGCTTCGGACGTCCCAAAGTCCCACTTACAAACAGCCCTGAGCAGGTTTCAGGGTTGGTAGATTCGATTGACAGACAAGCTTCCAGCCAGAAAAACGGCAAGCAGAATCGGCCGAGCCTTCTTGGATCACGTGTACGATTCTCTCGCAGGCGAAATTCCAGTCAAAAAAGAAAAAATCGTCTCAACTCCCAAGTGGAAAAATGAGAAACGGGAGCTTCGAATTTTGACCTCGATTTCGATTGTTAGTTGATCCGACGAAAGTCGCTGCTGGAGGGAAGCAGACGAAGCGCGGACGCCGAAGCTCAGGCGAGGGGGTTCAGACAACTCGTGGTCGCCATCAATCTTTCTCTCCTACCTCTAGGAATCTAGTCCACCGTTGTCTCCCTCAAGATCAAGAATATTTAGGTACGTACTGCATCGTATAGTTG